GGAAACTTTTTATTCCGAGCATTCAGAGTTAAATTAGATTGCTGAAATCAAAGCATCTCAACATCATTTTTGATCATTTTTCTCAGTGTGTCTTTTCTTCTTGCTGTTGAAAAAGTATATTTATCATCAAACATTTTAATAAAATGCATTATATTCTTGATTATTAGGGATGGAATACACTTGTCTTCTAAAGATAGTCCTTGACTTAATGAAATGTAAATGGCAAAAATTAAAATAATTTTTATTTATTTTAAATAATTAAATAGAATTGTTAAATAGTCCCACAATGAGTTGTCTCACAGTGAGTTGTCTGTGGCGAGTTGTCCTGCGCCATACTGCCCATGGCGAGTTGGCTGTGGTGACTTGGCCGCGGTGAGTTGGCTGCAGTGAGTTGGCTGTGGCAAGTTGTCCCATTCCCTCACCTTCTGTAGCTCTCCCAGAAGCTCTGGAGAGCATGGGGGAAAGGAGAGCAAGCCTATCTGCCCCTTTACCTCCCTAAAGGCTGCATGGTTCCATCCTAGGAGCAGACACCATTTTGGAAGGGGTCAAGGGGCCTGCTCTCCTTCCCCAACCCAGAATTAGGAGGACTTCCCCTTACCTCATAACTAATTGCAGATTCTATGGACTCTTTTGTAGTCAATGTAACTCATTGTTATAAGTTGAAATGCCAAAGTTTTGATTTTGTTGAATATTTCAGCAAATATTTTTTATTCAAAAGTACATTGGTACAAAATATAAGAGTGGCTGAGAATTAAGAGAGATACTGATGGACTCTGATAGATGTGTGGATTCTTCTTGCAGCTGTCTTTGGTGGGTGAATTGAAAGCTTGGTGCCTGCTAAAAATTCAGAATCTAGAAATGAAGCTCTCTGGAGATTCTAGATCTTCGAGACCAAAATCCACCCTGTCCACATCTGAGTCTCTCTCAGAGACTTTGGATACAGAAAACCTTCACACTACAAATGACTGTAAAACAAGCCAAACCCCACCACAATCAAATGGATCCCATCATCATTCTGGCATTGTGAGCCTCTCAGAAGATACAGAACGGAGTAGAATGCCAATCACAGAGCAGAGCTTTGGAAAGCAGTATTTCGTGGTTCAGCAAGATAGCATATCAGGTATGTTTGTTTTCCTATTTCAGCTATTTTCAGTTGGATATCTGTGTTAATCTGCTGCACCTGTAGTGTCAATCTAAATTTCAGTCTCTATTTTTTTTTTTTATACTAGGCAGCTTGCTTCTCTTCACTCTGGTACGATTAAAGCCTTCTTCACCACCATAGAAGAAAAACTGTGCTACTGTTAAGAGCAGGAGTCCACAATAATTTCAAGCCATGGCCATCATTCTGCAATTCTAATGTTGCAAGTGCCAATTCCTTAAAAAATTATAAGCTGTTCAGTGTCATTGGGTGTCAAGCAGCCTAGAAATTGCATACATAAATATTCAAACAAGCAAGCAAGCAATTCAACATGTCACCAGTCTCCTAAGTTCTCATTTGTTACAAATATACAGATTTCAAAAGATTTCAATCATTATTCCAATTATCTTTAATAAGACACAGGGAATTATTATTGCAGCAAGACAAATTCCTTGTGTGTCCAATCATACTTGGCCAATAAAGAATTCTCTTCTCTTCTCTTCTCTTCTCTTCTCTTCTCTTCTCTTCTCTT